GTTTTTATATCATTTCTTAACGGAATTATATATAATATATATATATATATATACTAGTAATTTTATTTTTTTTGAGGTTGGGCCTAGGCCCTCCCTGGCCTAGGGCTAGATCCGCCCCTGAAAGCAATGATCAAAGTAGAGATACTAGAGTATAACTCTGGTAGTAAAAAGCTTAGTACCTGGTGCTTTTAAACATCATGTTTAAGTTTTCTATGAAATGAGGTTCTCAACCAAGTGGAAATATTTTACATTATATTGTGCAAGTATTCTAAGTTTTAAATGTTCACACCACATTTTGATCATGTAGAACTAATATACCAGCATGCTGTTTTCTTTTTCCAACAAACTTTAATAAAAATAGGCTTATCATTCCATTTTGTTTCACCGAAAATTCCACTGCAGGGACTATGCCCTAGCATTCCATAAACAATATTTGAAAACCTGTAATGCTTGACTTTTTTAATCCTTAAAGTTATTTGGAGTTGAGCCTTTTAGTTTGTTAGAAGTGAAGCTCATCAAGCCAAAGAATTAATAAACAAAGATATCATCTGAAAGAAGACAATAAACAACTTCTTTCTCTTTTATATGAAAAGCCAACTTTATTCATATCAAATTACAAAATGTTGTTTTGTTCATTTCTTTAGCTTATAATTTTATGACTTGCTCTGTTTTATTCCTGTAAAAAGCATGTTTTGTAATAAAAGTTCACTGTTTTATTATTTTTCCCTAGAATTCCTGCGGCTTCTTCGAGTACTTTTGCGCTGGATCATGACATTAACCTCTTCTTCAAAGTTAAGCTTTTCCTCTTCAAACTATTCTTAAAGATTATGTATTTTTTTTATGAACTAAGCTTTCCTTCTACCAAATGTACAGAATATTAGATGTGTAAAACATTTAGAGTCATATAAATGTGATAGCCAAGTTGGTGTTATTTTTTTTAAAAATCTTTTTTCTAATTTCTCTGTTAGCGAGTAATGTAATGGGTGATACGCATACATATGTTTGAATATATCCACTTCTAAAGTTTCTTGTGCTGATTTTCACGTTTCACAAATTCACATTAATGGTTCACCATTCAGATATGTCTGAAACACCATTTTGCAAAGCCTATTTCACGTTCAATGGGTCTCTGTTTTTTATATTCCTTATTTCAATTGAAAAAGAAATCTGGAGGCTAGAATCCATTTATAATTAAGCAAACTAAGTATCCTGTCTAAATTTGATATGCTTAACTAGATATGCTTATTGTTAACGCATCTCCTATTTTTGCTCTCTTCTTCTTCCTCGGTGTTTGTATAATTTTTTTTATCTGACTATGATTCCTATCTCATGAGGTATCTGGTGGCACTCCAGTTTGTTATATTTTGACTTCATTTTCATTCAAGACTCTCTTTTTATTTTCGAGGTATCCAGGGTTTGCGATTTGGACTTCTGCTAATGTACTCGATAGTCCATCTTAGTCAATCTCCTCATGATTGGTTAGTGTGATCTCCTAATAATATTTCATTTTTATCTTTGACATGCCGTTTTATTATTTGAAATTTTAGGCTAATGTTATAAACTCACTTTTCATTGCAAGTTTTCAGGATGTGGGGAAGACAATGGTACTAAGGTTTTAGGACTTCTTTTATGATAGTTTTACTCATTTTTCTGCTTTCAATATAATGAAAACTGCTTTAGATTAAGAGGTTTTTCGTTTTGTATTTGTTCTGCATTTTCCTTTCCGATGCTTTGACAACAGAGAGTAATGGATCAACTTTTTATATAACTTCACAAGAATTTGAAGGAACAACCAAATTCTAATTGTTACTACCCTTACCCTACTATGACAGTCAATAACTGCAATGTTAATATACATTGCAAGTTAGATATGTGATCTGTTCCGGATTTAGTCCCAAGTCACTATCCAACACGTCCTTATGGGATTCTGGATTTGATGAACTTTTCTTTCTTTTTGGCCATTGATTTGAGAATCCTAAAAAGAGTGAAAAGGAGTTAAAAAATACAGCTTTTTCACTCGGAGATACGATTAAAAGGATTTTAAAAATAAAGTTTTTTCTTTATTACATACTGCAATTTTTTCTTTTCTTTTTGGTATTATTATTATTTTCCCTTTATGTCTTAGCTCTCTCCAAAATTGTAGCCTTGAGAAAGGATGCAATAGTTTATGCCTGCTATTATGGTGATCGTTTACTATTTAGTTATTTACTATTATGGAGATCGTTTTGCTGCCCAAATATTACAATTGAAGAGAAAGTGAAGTGTTAATGTACCTCATTAGGATACTAATGTGGGGTCATTGGCAACTTAAATGTTTCAAATGATTTCAAATTGTGTTATTATAGCGAGATGTTTTTTCCTTTGTGTAATTGAAGGAACACATAGAGTCTTTATGCTTTTTCTAACTTGAAGTATGTCTTATTTTCATGTTTATACATAGGCTCTTTGTGTAGGGATTGAAGTGAAAAAAACGTTGGGGTTAGTTGGAGGAATTAGCAAATTCCATAGAGACTCTTATCCGGAGCAGAAGTTGGTTCATTTGTATCTCGAGTGGAGGAATGTGATAAATCTGAGCTTTATTTGACTTTCTGTATTAAAATTTTCTTATTCACCCTATAAGAAAAGGGTCTGAAATCCCATTTAATAGTGATTTGGAATTATTTGGTAAGGTTTATTGCCAATTAGAATTATAATATGAATTTTTAATGTGATTTTTTGAATATTTGATTTCCAAATTTCGTATGATACATGTTAAGTAGGTTTTGGGATTCTTTCATATCAAACTTTGGAGTTTAAATATTTTGGATGGTATAAAATAATCTTGATTAGAAAACAAAATAGGTGGTGTGATGTTTTGATAGTATGCGTTCTAGAAAAATATGGAAGGCTATTTACATATCTTTATACAACTTATAAGTAAGGTATGTTGATGACAATAAAAAAGTAGGCTATGTTGTTGTGGAGCATAGTAATATGCAACTTATGTGTCATACTTAAGTTTTAGTTATTTTGACCGTAGGAAAAGGTTTTAGTTTATTATTATATAAATATTTTTACTTTTGGATGTATTATATTTTTTGTTAAGAACACAAAGATCAAGGAACTTGATCTTTCGGGGATTTGTATTTTCTAAAAAGTTTCACCGAGGGAATATATTGATATAAGGTTACTCCTAACGTGAATGATTCTTTAGGCTTAGTTTTGTTGTGTTTGTGGGATCACAAGTGTCATCCGTTGCACAAAACTGCAGGACAACTCAGAGAACAATTGGAACTGGTATATCTAAGAGTAGTTGTTCTAACTTCTAAGTAATTCTCTAACAATATGTTAAATATGTATTATAATATATTTTAGGTCTTTAAGAGTGGCATTCACGAGACAACTACGTCAAAATAAATGTATGATATAGTGGATCAACATCTTTTGGGTTTTTTCGCCAATTCGCCAATAGTGTCTTCATCAAATGTGAGTAATACTTAAAAAATAGAATAATCATAGCTTGAGTTTTAATATTTTACCCGTTTCATTTTGACTTTTGTAAACTTATCATTGTTTTGCCATTTCAAATCGATATCTACGGAGTAATTTCTAAAATTTAAATTGACTTTTTGGATTAGTAATAACCATATTTAGATATTTTTAACAAAAATATCTAGCTAATTTTTATGTTACCATTGAACTTTTGTTGATGCGATGACTATTATCCCAATTTCGAAGGGATGTTTGTCAGATTATGCGGAAGGAAATGATGAAGGATCTTCTACCCAAAACTCCTATATCAAATTGCATAAATCTATCAAGGTTGAAATATCATTTTTAGGATGAGTGTTTGAGGTGGAGATTGAGGACAATATCTTCACTCTTTAATTTCATGTCATTTTTTAGTAGGAGAACATGTACGGCAAAAATGTTATTAAGAGACGATGTTCTTTATTTACTGTGACTTTTATTACTTACTGTTGACATTTATTACTTACTGTTGAAGACATTGTTGTAGAATTGCAATTGAATTAGTTCATGCATACCTTGGATTATATACAACAACTCCAACCCAATAAAGCTTCTCTTTAATATGTACGGAGTACTACGTATCACTTTTTAGTAATCAAAGTTAAGTTTCTACTTTCCATACAATTACAGTGATATTAATTGAAGCATTTGGGCGGGTACAACTTCGATCCATAGGAAGGTTATTTGTTATCTACAAATTTTGTAATATTGATCTACAAATTAAGTTGATTATTGTTCCAGTAATGAACATATCAATTGTTCTTTTCTCTTACACCTCTTGCAGTTTCGAAAGAAGATGAGATTATCACTTTCTTCTTCTTCTTTTGGAAGAAATCAAATTGTATTAAAAGGATTAATAACAATAGAAGCGCTAATGACAGAAGAAAGCTAAAGCAACAAGAGATTACTATAATCAATCAACTTTTTCAAGAGTTGTGTGATCAACTTTCCCCAAATTTCCCCCCCCTATAATATATTTATAAGTTGGATGTAAATTATTGCATATACTACGTATCACATTGCAATAATCTATTTTGGTTCTTTTTTGCATTACCATCTTTAAGTTCTTTAGTGATGTCTTTCAATTTGAAAAAATCTAATACACAAGTCCCTAGATTTGTGAAGATAAGTTGCTAGAATTGTAATTGTAAACTCACTTTTTATACATGTTGATTTTTGTAGGCCTGCTATGTTATTAAATAGTTAGTAATACACAAATTAGTTTATATCGTGTATATATAATTACACAAAGTCATGAATGTTGATTATTATTTAATTCTAAAAAAATGATCGGGAAAATTTAACTAATTCATAAATAATTTTGCAATTTGTTATCCCGTGCAACGCACGGGTGAAAGACTAGTTAAGAAATAAACTCATATAGCCATATGTGAGGAAAGTGTCCGACTTTGAATCTGCTTTAGGTACCTCTTTTCTGTTGTAAATTACGGAGTAGTTTATTATATGCTTTAGTTTTTTGGTCCACACTCAATCAAAGTTTGATACTACGTACTAGTACATAATAAGATGGGCACAATATAAAAATGTTACTTCGGCCGATTCTAGGGGAACAATACTATATAATCCTAAAATATATTGTTTCCAGCAAGAAGCAAACTGGACACGCAGTACTGCTGAGTTAGTAATGTTGTTAGTAAACAAAATTTATCTCAAAGTAATATATTGAGATTATTGTGGTTTCTCTGCCCTCGAACGCATTGCTCTTCATATTTGGAGCATATTGCTTATTGAGTCTCATACATGCGCATACACAATAAGGACTCAGATAAAGAATAAAACTCCTACTCCATTTTACCACAATCTAGTGTCCTACTCACTGATCCATCTTTAAAAAATGGCCTATTATTTCCTGGATAGATGTGTAAGTACCAACAACCATGATGAGAACACCCATAACCACAATGGTAGAGATTATGAACATCTCGAGTTTTAGCCTGCTATAAATTCCCGAGATCTTCAAGAAGCACAAGCAAGGAAGCAGAACTGAAGCCGCGATGCTGAAGCATGCCCCCACGAGTGACATTAAGTACCCAAAAAGCGGAATAGCCAATGCCACAATCACTGTGCTGATTACCAGACTAATTCTGACCAACAGGCTGTGTGATTTTTTACTACAATGAGATGCAAGCATGTTTTCTGTGGCATTCACAAGAGGTTTTACCATCAAAGCATACTTGGCTATTGGATTGATCAGTGTGGTGAAAATGGCCACTTTCGAGCTAAGTTTTCCGAACGGGAGGTTTAAGGTTACTTGAGACAGTACTTCAGAACCAAACATAAGATACCCCAGGATTGCCATTGATGCATAGCTGATGGTGCATACGAGAAAGCAAACAAGCAGTACCTGCAAAAAGAAAACATCAGAGCAAACAAAGGTCATGTCTAAATATGGTCCAAGAAATTTGGTTTCAAAGGTTCATAAGAATAAGAGTAAGCTGAAGTCTTATACTATCTCTATCCCATTAATTCACGTGCATTTGGATTATTTTTTACAAAATAAATTCCTATTTTAATGGAATAATCGAAAGATGTCAAAATAAAATTGATTTGAAGCCTGACCTGAAAAAACTTAACACCCACATATTCACAAAAAAGGGTTACTGCTACTGGTTCACATGCAATTAAAATTCTAAACTATAAGGGATTTTTTTCAAAAAGGCTAAAATTCCATGAATATCAGCAAGGCACTTCACTCATCCTTCCATCCAAATTCACTGGCTCGAGTCTCCCACTTGGGCCCTTTCTCTAGCTTGCGCTCCTCTATTAGAGCCGCTTGGGCCCTTTCTCTAGCTTCTTCACATGTTTCCATCCCTGCATTGCATTTCTCCACTTCTCTTTGGTAGTGAGAAGATGCTCTTTTGGCACCTGTTATTAGCGTGTTTGTGTGTTCCAAGCTGTCACTCACTCACTCGTCACATTCTTCAACAAGTTAATCTCTTCTGATAGTAAGGTGATGATTTCCTTTTCCATTTCCTCATTCATTTCAGGATTGTCTTAAGCACTATCTGTGACTGATCCATTCAGAAAATCTAAAGGCAAGGGCAACATGGAATCTTCTTCATATTAGCAGAAACAAGGGGGGCATGAATCTAGACCACTTGACCTCAAGTTGGATCTCCAGAGGACTGATGGCCTTGCCATGAAAAGAACCAGAAACAAGCAAACAAATACCACCACACATATCACTGCCCCTTTGGCTGCACAATATCTGCTCTGATTATTGAGCCATGAGAAAGTTTCTCTGGCTCATAATCCAAAAAATGCAGGACTGGGTTTCTTGTCTAATTCAGAAAAAGAAAGAAGAATAAAAAATGAAGGAGATATTTGGATTTGACACTAGTTTTAAGAAAAATAAAGGAGATATTTGGTTTGAAATTGTAATCATTGAAAAAAATGAGTACAAGTCCACAAAAACTAATAGGTGGAATGATAGATAAAAGGATAAACAGGAAGTAAAAAGTCTGGAGTTCAAGTTATGAAAGATTTCATATACGAAGTATATCGGGAAAAACATTAAGGAGAGTGTACTTTCCAAAAATGAAACTGTGGGAGTATGTGAGTTATCTTCATATTTGACCACTGTGAGTGAGTTAATATGTCTATGAAAGATATTGAACGTTAGAGCAAACGAATTTGAAACCATGGAAGGATTTATAGGAAACTATGTTGAGGAGTTACGAAAATGATGTGATCAATTGATTGGTAGAGCAAACAAATTTGTAAACTCATACGCTCGTTGTTGAGGCTTACCATATTGAATTGCTTGTTAGAGTGATATCATATTAAGAGAAATTAATAGGATAAGAGGTATAAACCAAAACTTCACATATGAGTTTGTATCTTCATATATGGTCGTAGTGATAAGACTAAGCATACATTATATATGAGTTATATATATATATATATATATATATCCATAGTGAGAGTGTATCAAAGCTATCACTTAATTATTTGTATTACCTTAGAGAACTGTCTGGGATTTTCCATTGAAGTATAAAGTGTGGGGAAAACTGGATGGGCACAATAGCAAAATGCATAGAGACTGACAGCAGTTGGGGTTCCTTTCCAGCTAAGAAGGATGTCACTTGAATGATTACCAATTCCATCTGTTGCACTAGCCCACACCATTGACCCAAGAAGTGTCACCGAAGCTATCACTCCACTTGCAGATATGTAAGACAGGACACTCATGTTGTTCAGCAGAACAGTGGGTAACACAATGAGGCCAACCAAAATCACAAAGCTCACCTTTCCAGCAACAACAATCCCCGCTAGCCTTACCTTAAAATCTGGAAAGATGTTTTCCAGATTGTCGCCTTCTAGGATCAAGAAACCAGTGGCAACCATGTAGAGCTCCATGTTCATTAATATAGACACCACCGTTCTTCCTGCACTCCCGAAGGCACGCTCACCAATATCCGGATAGCTCCTTATGTTTGAATCCAAGTCCATGCACCTCTGGATTAGTAAGCCTGTGTAGTAGGTCGTAGCCGCAATGATAAAAAGATACATCAAACTCAGCCATCCACCAGAGGCCAATGCATATGGTACCGACAGTATCCCAACTCCTGATGCATATATACATATCACATATCATAGATAGAATATCCATCATGAGCAACCAATATTCAAAACTATAGGCATTAGGAGAATTTTCAAGGAAAGAAACAGGACATGACAATAAGTGTCGAAGGCATAAGTGCCTAGAACACCCAGTTCCATTGAGTGATGGAACTAGCTAGAAATTTAGTATTAGGATGGCCAAGCTTTAAACTTTTATGCTAGGGTCAAATTTTCATATTTCAACATATTCTTTTTATAAATTGTAAATATTTGAATAAACACACATATATACACATTCATTTTATAAATTGCAAGTATTTGTATACACACACATATATATTAGATATATACACTTGAATATATCTTGGGAGCGGCCTCTTGACAAAAATTTGATGGGGGGAGGCTTGCCCCTTATACACTCTTGTGGTGGGACCCTTCCCAGGACTCTCGCCTTGTGGGGATGCCTTCGTGCACTGGACTCCCTTTTTATATACACTTGAATATGATTGGGGGACTGAGGCTCCAGTCCCTCCATGGCTACACCACTGGACCAAATAAAATGCGAGGTTACGCTATTCACCAGTGGCATATAAAATGGTGACAAGTGTGCCACCTAACTCTTGCAGGCGTGCAGCATGACAAGTGTGCCACCTAACTCTTGGAGCATAAAGGAGGGGGCATTACTAGTTACCACCTTTTCTATTCATTCCCAAACTAACAATATTTCCATTTAAGGAAGACAATAAATGCTTCATATCATTTCTCTCTATGCTAAATAAAACTCAACCACACTGTCAGTAATACATAATAATTTACTCAGCAACAATACTCCTAAATCCTAATAGCAGAAAAAGGAAAAAAGGGGTAGGAAGATAATGTTGATTTTTTTTTCATTTTGGAGGATGAATTGGGCTCAGTTTTTAGGCTGTGATCTGGGCTTTAAAGCCCAATGAGTTTAGCTTCTTTGTAGTTTGTTCTGCAGAGAAAAGAAATGGAGGTGACTACAGACAACTAGGTTGAAAAAAGGACTTGCAACTGATTGAAAAACTCAGTTGGTCTAGAGGTTCTTCTTAGCCAATGCAATGTTCAGATATTACCTTTGGTACAACAGCAACGCAGATGTGCTGGGGTGGTTTTCTGCAGCAAGACAAGAGGAAACAGCAAGGAGTTGCAGTTCTGTTTTCTCCCATACGAGCAGGAGGGAAAGTCTCAATTGGCATGTCAAACAAACTCCGATTGGGGCGAACTTCTGGTAGCAACTTCCTAACTTAAGGAGCTAAACTCTATCAGGTTTATTTTATAATCTGAGGTCTGCAAGTGCTTTTTCAAATTTGGTTTGTGAACAGCAAAAAATCTTGTAGCTTCTGCATTTTTTTAAGTGTGTACTTTCGAAGCTTTGTAGTTAATCAAAGAGATATTCTTTTGATGACAAACAGTGCATTTACCTGATTTGGTGACATAGTGAAAGAGTTACTAGCTTGGTCCCATGGTTTTAGTTTTTTTTATTACCTGATTTGGGTTTTCCACCTTAAAAATTTTCCTTTACTACGGAGTACTTGTTATTGGTATGGTATGCATTTTAGGTATTGAGTTTTCTGTGAAATAAATTGATTCATAGCAGTTTTCCCAACAGATAAAATCAAACAGTTAAATTAAACCTAGCTGGAGGGAAGAGACGGATGGGATTGATCATGCAGGAAAGAAAATGAATAGAAGGAATAATAATGAGAGTACCTGATAATGCATTGATGCCATTGAAGCAAGTCTTGGAAAAAGAAGTTTTCCCAGAAACCTTCGGTTGAAAAACATCAGCAGCATGGTGTTTTTCATGGCCATTCAAGAGATTGACTGTAATTGAAGCATGCCCATCGTCCAATTTGGGATCCATTTCTAAAAAAGCAGAAGCTTTTTCAGTTCTCTTACCCCAAACAAAGAAAAAACCAAAAATTGGAGTGACCAGCCGAGAAGACGAAGCTATTAAGAGGCAAAAAACAAGCTACTACATATTATTATCGCGTACTATTTTTGTACTGATAGTACCCAGAGCTCCTTTAGCTCTTCCAACCCACTAAAAACGATTAGCACGTTCCAGAGACAGCTCAACCGAAAATGACAATGTAAGTAAGTGTCCTACGTTTCTTTATTTTAATCTTTCTTTTCTCGGTGACCCCAGTAAAGGAAGATCAGACTTCAGAGGGTCATTTTCCAATGAGTAATCACTAATCAGTATTCAAAAATGTCGTCTGAGATTTCAGGAATCTCATCACGGGGCAATGACCAAAGTGCTATAAAGCAGAACAGTTTCTGGCAAAAGAAGTCATAGCTTTTTTGGCCGGAATGATTGTTTATGATAAATAATGATCGAACCGTCTTTTCTGAATCTGGATCGGTGATTACACTGTTTTTCCTTTCTTCTTCAAAGATACAGTGTATTGGACGAGAACAAACAATCCGACAAGAACGGTTGCCATTTTGGTTTTTGACCCTGAAATGTGAACTGTTGATTGTGAATGATTTGTTGAGACAGACATAATAATAGCCCAAACAGGTATGCGACATGCGTGCATGAAATGTGCAAAGAGCAAATTTTTATGCTCAAAATTCCGCTATCATATCTTGCTCGTGTTTTCTAACTTACGGATTATTACTCCCTCAGTCCCTAATCTTTCTCTCATTTAGGCTAGCCACATCACATTATTTAAAAAAGTGAGTTTTGTGTCGTGGAGAGTTGTGCAGAGGAAAGAGAAATGTGTAAGAACGGTTGTGAACACAAATTCTTTGCCGAAAAGGGGAAGAGGAGATAATTTTGGAACGGACGAAAAAGGAAAGTTTGAAGATAATTCAGGGACGAAAGGAGTATGTTTTAAAGGCATGCCATCCCCATCCTCTTTTAGGATTATTTAGAGATTATTTCGATGATGTGAATGATATTTTTTAGATTATTTGAAGAGATTATTTAATCAAAAAATCTGATATCAAATTCTAAATCTACTCCTTCCCATAAAAAGTCACATGTTGCCATTAAAAAGTTCATGTGTAAATCATTGTACATTGAAATTCAACTTCCGACCAAACCCAATTTAAAAAATTAAGATCATGATTGAGGAAAAATTAATCGGTTTGAAGATTATTTGAGATTTTTCTTATGTGAAAGCAGTGGCGTATCCAGAAAAATACGTCAATGGGGGCGAATTTACTTTAAATTAAGAAGGAGAAAAATCACTAGAAAAATTAAGCTAATCAAAAAAAAATTGTAAAATCAAATTATAAATTACAAAATATTCTCTAGACAAAAACATAAGGATATCATTTTTAATTAAATTTCACTTTGTTAGAAATAATTTTATCACATGACATTTGTAATTTGTGCAAAATTATGTCAATATATAAATGAATCAAATAAGGGAAGGATCAAACATGTACTTAGAATGAATTTAAATTGAAAATTCACAAGTATATTAAAAAAAATAGTTTTAATTATGTACAAAATCATTTCATATGTGAATCTAGAATGGTAACGATATTGAAGTAGTTTAGATCTTTCCAACAAGAAAAAGATTATAAAGAATAATGCAAAATCACTTATGACATGTTTACTTCAATTATAAATTACAAAATATTCTCTAGACAAAAACATAAGGATATCATTTTTAATTAAATTTCACTTTGTTAGAAATAATTTTATCACATGACATTTGTAATTTGTGCAAAATTATGTCAATATATAAATGAATCAACTAAGAGAAGGATCAAACATGTACTTAGAATGAATTTAAATTGAAAATTCACAAGTATATTAAAAAAATAGTTTTAATTATGTACAAAATCATTTCATATGTGAATCTAGAATGGTAACGATATTGAAGTAGTTTAGATCTTTCCAACAAGAAAAAGATTATAAACAATAATGCAAAATCACTTATGACATGTTTACTTCACGGGTTACGTACTAAACGGTGCTTAGTAAGACCCGCGTTAATAAGTGGAGCATAAAATAAGCAGTGTTGTAAGCTCATGTTTACTTCAAATGATTTAAAACACTGCTTAACATTAAAATGTCCAAAATAACCCTATACATATATAGACACACAAACATTCATGAACACAAATATATAATATAATATGTGGGGATCACCTCATACGCATACTCATACCCCTAACCCTACCCACCCTCTATACTCGTACCCCACCCCTACCCCACCCAACCCCTTACCCCTACCCCTACCTTGACCTTAACCTTTACCCATACTCCTAACCCCTAACCCCTACCCCTACCTTGACCTTAACCTTTACCCATACTCCTAACCCCTAACCCCTACCCTACTCATAGGGGTGGGGTTGGGTCGAGGTAGGGGCAGGTGGTAGGGGTAAAGGGGTAGGGTCTGAGGACAAAGGGTTGGGGGGTGGGTGGGGTCGGGGTCATGGTAGGGGTAGATGGTATGGGATAAAGGGGTAGGTTCCGGGTACGGGTGGGTTGGGGGTGGGGTGGGGTAGTGGCCGGGTTGAGGTAGGTGTAAGGTAGGGGTAGGGTAAGGGGTACGAGGGGGGGTAAGGGAACATGTGGGGTAAGGGGGTAGGTGGGTGGGGGGGTAGTGGTCGGTTAAGGCAGGGGCAAATGGTACAGGGGTAAAGGGGCGGGGTCCGAGGGGTAGGTGGGTTCGGGGTGGGGACCGGGGGGGCAGGTGGGTTCGGGGTGGGGTTGAGGTAGGGGCAGATGACAGGGGGTAAAGCGGTAGAGTCGGGGTACGGATGGGTGGGGGAGGGATGGGGTTGGGGTAGGGTTGGAGGTAGGGCAGGTGGTAGGGGTAAAATGGGTACGGTCAGGGTATGGTAGTGGTTAGGGGGTAGGGTGGGGTAAGTGGGTGGGGTAGTGATGGTCGGGTCGAGGTAGGGGTAGGGTTGGGGTAGGATATGTGGGGGTAAGGGGTATGGTCGTGGGTAGGGGTGGGGGTAGAAGGGGGGTAGGGGCAGGGTAAGGGGTACGGGTGGGGTGGGGTCAAGGTCGAGGTAGGGGCGGGTGGTAGGGGTAAAGGGTGGGGTGGGGTCAAGGTCGAGGTAAGGGCGGGTGGTAGGGGTAAAGGGGTAGGGTCGGGGTATGGTAGGGGTAAGTGGGAATGGGTTCAGAGTTGGGTCGGGATTGGGCAGAGGCAGGGGTCGGTGGTAGGGTGAAGTGGAAGGGTCAAGGTAGAGTATGGGTAGGGGTGGGGGTGGGGTGTGGTCGGGAGGGTAGGGATGGGGTCGGGGTAAGGTTGGGTAGGGGCAGGACGAAGTAGGTAGAGGGTAACAATAGAGTAAGGGCAAGGAGTAAGAGTAGGGGTAAATTCGGAAACTGTAAAAGCTTAAAGTGCTTCTTTATTAATACATGGGAGGTATGCTTAGTAAGCGACACTTTAGGCACCTCTTCCGGTTAGTAAGCAACCTTTTAAGAAGTTTGTGTGTTTACTTCACCTATCTTACACTCTTACTAACCTAACTGTGACTTTAGGAGCAAAGTAAAGGTCTCTTTAGAATTTATACAAGGCTTTAAGGGAAAAAGCAACAAAAAATTAAACAAGACTGGAGCAAGGATTCAAACCCTTGACCATATAGGAGAGCATTGCATGTTTCTGCGCTAATTTCCGCTCGGGTACAGACCGAGTATGGTATAACTCTGATATTTAGTATTGGATATAAGATCCATGTATTTGACACAAAAGTATATGTATAATTTTAAATTGAATGTGTATATATAGGAGTTGGGTGGGGGTTGAGTGGGGTAGCTGCCCCCTACCCCCACCCTAGATACACCCTTGTGTGGAAGTGACATGACAATAACAAGCCATAAAAAATCGTAAAATTGATGAGCATGAATGAAGATGCTCTTAGATTATTTAAGGTTTAATTGGATGACGGGAAGATTATTTTAAATATTATCATTGTGAGTGGAAGATTATTTAGAGATATTATTGAAAAAGAAAATCCGGTATCAAGATTTGAATCCTGAATTATTTTAGATTGTAGTTAAATTTCATTTTATGCATGGTCAAGAAAAACTAATTATTTGAGTATCATGATTGATGAACAGTTTTAAGATTTGAGATTATTTTAAATTTATTGAATAAATGTGATGTGAAAATGATATGTCGTAGAAAAATCATTTATTTTAAGATCATGAATGAAGACGCTCTAAATGAATATCCTTGGAATAGAATGAACTTGGACCTAATTGTGATATCTTTCATTGGAAGCGTCAAATGACATCATTGTGCAAAATTGCACTATCGCCAGCTTAATTTTGTCCATCCATCACTGTGCAAATAGTATTATTTGGAGGAAATGACGAAACGGAACATATTTTGAACACGTGTTTCCAAATAGGACATATGTGATTTTTTTGACAAAAAATGCAAAACGGAGTACGTAACTCCGAAACTATATAAAAAGTGGCCATACCGGAGTACACAACTCCGAAATCAGAGCGCGTCAGACCATTATTTGTTTTCGGATTTGCCAGGTCCAAATGCAGAGGATTAGATTTCCGGCCATTGTGATTGGTTGGCTACATTTCAGCGGATAATTTTTCATTTTTATAAATTAACCTTCCCTATCTGCCTCCAGAGATTTTTTACTATTTGTGCTCAAAACATTTAATGGGCCACTTTTGTAAAACGTGTGCTAATTTATTTTAATGGGTCAAATTTTTGTAAAACGCATGTTTTTATCTAAATCGGGAGTCAGACGCAAATTCAACTTAAAATACAAATATTGTATGATTTTTAATTATGTTGAACAAAATAAGATTTATAACAACAATTATAAAACAAACTTCAAAACACAAAAATAAACACAACAAACAATCCGTATTAAAGGCAACAAAAAAATACTCCTATTATATATACTTTACTGATTCGAATCTGCCAACTCCGAAAATGGTCTGCCCCCATAATTTTCGGAGTCCATTTTCGAGCTTGGTAACTCCAAAAATGAGTTTCGTACTGACAATATAAATTCAGACCTGGCAACTCCGTTTTGCACTCTCTTAGAAAACGTCAAAAAAGTTGCACTTTTTGGAATGCAATGTAAAAAATGTACTCTTTTCCGTCAAACACCCTATTATTTGTGCTACCCTCCTACTACGTACGTAGTAGTTTACTAGTCACTGAACCGGAAATGTTGCCACAAGTTTTAGAAAAATTATACTCCCTCCGTATCTTTAAAATCTTCCCATTTCAAAAGTAGGTAGATTAAGAATAGTGAAAGATGATATGAATTATTGAGGGTATGATGGGAAAATAGTGGAATAATGTGGTGGAATGTAGGATAAATCCAAAAAAAGTAGTTGTAATAGTGTATTATTTTAAGAATTATTGAGGGTATGATGGGAAGATTTAGAAATGGGAAGATTTTTGTGTTACGGACGAAAAAGGAAAGTGGGAAGATTTTAAGTTACGGAGGGAGTATTATTTTAAAATTATACTGAAATTGGTTGAATCGGCTGAAATGACAGTATTGACTGATTTTGCTGATATATGAGTATTTAAAATATGTAGTATATTTTATTATTATTATAAAGAAAAAATTACATGAAAAAATGGTTAAAATGATCATATACAGTAACTTCAGCCAATACAGCCAGAAAAGAACTTGAACCTTACTTTTTATTACTCCCTCCGCGCGTCCCGAAATTAACTTCCCACTTGGATTTATTAAGGAATAAAATTTGCTACGCGATAAATTTTACTGTTTTGAAACTGTTTCGAAACCGTTTGACATTGTCTTGCACTGTGTTGATGTAGATAATCTGTCATATAAGGTAGTGGGAAGTTAATTTAGGGACTGCACAAAAAGGAAAATGAGAAGTTAATTCCGGGACTGCACGAAAAGGAAGTGAGAAGTTAATTTCGGGACGGATGGAGGATTTCATCCCCAAACGCAAAGTTTATCGCTGACCGATATTGCACATCATCATTTAGTATTACACAATTTAGCGCGCAAAATTAAAAGTTACATATTTGGTTAAATAGTTGGCTAAACCCGATAAACTGAAAAATAGAATCATCAAACGGTCTCTTAATATACAATATAGAAATTACTTCAAATAGGACTAAAACTATGACAAAAACTCAAAATAGGATTTGCTATGTTTTTATTCCAAAATAGGACTATATTGGTCCTATTGGAAACATACCCGTTTCTTCATTCCATTCTTACCCCTCCTTTAAATATGAGTAAAAGATAGTCAAAAGTCATAATTAAATGTTTAATTCATAATAAATTCGAAAAAAATTCAAAAATTCATAGAAAATATTAATTCATAGAAAAATTCATAAAGAATTCCTTTTTTTTTTTGAAAATTAATAAAAAAGAGTAAAACTCCATAAAAAAAATCAAAAAAAATATGGATGTCTTTCCCACCGCATGTACTACCTCCCTGCACCGCCACCTCCGATCGGTGTTAAATATGCAATTTTTTTAAAAATTCCAAAAAAATGGCATATTACTCTTTGAGAATGTCAACATTTTCATTCTGCCAACTTGAATCCTTTTGACTTCTGCCAAAAATATGGCATTTGTAATGAATTTGACATTTTTTCCCGATGACAAGTGGTGGTGGTACTACCTCCCTGCACCACCACATCCGACCATTAAAAAAATGTCATATTTACTAAAAACTGCCAATTTTCCCCTGAAAATGCCAAAAAATGGCATATTTCTCTTTGAGAATGCCAACATTTTTATTCTGCCAACTTGAATCATTCTGACTTTTTCCAAAAATATGGCATTCGTAATGAATTTGGCATTTTTTCCCAGATGACTGGAGGTGGTGGTGCTGGGGCGGCAGAGGCGGCAATGTTTTTTTTTTCTTTTTGCATTTTTTTAAAAAATTTATTTTTTTTTAAATTTTTTTAATTTATTATTATTTAAAATATTTTTATTAATTTTTGGTATTTTATACGAATTTTTATTATTATTTATTTAATATTTTATTATAAATTTAAACATTCCAATAGTTATAAGGGTATATTTGTCCAAGACACACATAATTAGTTCTATGAAAACATAGTTTATTTTTTGGTTTTATTTGTGCAAAGTAACTTTTAGTCCTATTTTGATAATTAACCCTTTTTTGTTGGAAAAATCGAAAGGACTTTTTGGCATGAGTAGGATCAGTTTATATAGGGTCATTCACAAAATCACAAGTATAAAAAGTATAGTTAATTTTTGACGTTAATGAGCGATGTTAATGTTAATTAATATAAGTATAAAACGTACTCTCTCTCTGTCTCATTAGAAGGTTCTCACTTTCCTTTTTTGGACGTCCTGTTAGGAGGTTCTCATTTCCATTTTAGGAAACAATTAACAATCTTAAGTGACAAATTAATCATTAAATATTAAAAATAATACATTTATAACATCGCAGTTATCAATACTAATTACATTATTATTATATATATATATATATATTAAAATTATTTCTCAAAATATACTCGAAGTACTTTATTTAATGATTGCCTAAATAATCGTGTCGTTTTGCTATGAGAACTGATAGAGTATATAGACTCGGACCCTGGGTATCACGACTATTGGGCCCAGACAGCGGCCCAGACAACGGCCCACATATGTTCAGTAGATAGCATTTATTTCCTTGTACACTACATTTATTCATATGTACCCATTAAAATAGATTAGATACTATTTATTAGTCATTTATTGGCCTTTTATTGTAACTGGGCCAGCCAGGCCCAAGCCTGGAAGCTCAGCCCTCTTTTCTCCTATAAATACTCCCTATGGGAGCCATGTAAATGATGGGATGGTTGATTGGAATTCATTATACATATCACTTTATCTCTCTAGCTCTCACTTCTCTCTAGAATTAATACTCTATCATTTGGTGCTTTCATTGAGAGTCAGAACATATCAAGTGAGATCCTCCCTACCAATAACAAATCTTTACAAAATAATAAGGATGAATGAGGGTAAGGGTACTTTAGGTATAAAAAATTTGTTGGTGGTCATAGTATCGCTTACTTCAGTTGTACTACCTACTTAGTTAGCTGTGCCTTTTTAAGTCCTTATATCTCGTTAATAAACGTCGTTAGTAGTTCGTTTAGCTGCTGCGGCCCTAAACTTCTTTGTTCGTCAAGGGCGGCGAGCTCTTCAACAAGGTCGCCAAGGGCAGGCTCAAACAAGACTCTGCTCGCAAATATTTCCATCACCTGATCTCAGCTGTCGCATTTTGCCACGCCCGTGGCGTCTACTACCGCGATTTGAAGCCCGATAACATTCTGATAGACGAGGATGGCAATATGAAGGTTTCCGATTTTGGGTTGAGCACAATTTCAGAGCAGATCAAGCAGGACGGGCTGTGTCACACGTTTTGCGGCACACCAGCTTATGTAGCTCCCGAGCTTCTGGCCAGAAAAGGGTACGACGCAACGAAGGTAGATATATGGTCTTGTGGGGTAATTTTGTTTGTTCTTTTAGCAGGTTATTTACCATTCCATGATCAGAACGTCATGGCAATGTATAAAAAGATTTACAAGAATGAATTTAGGTGTTCGGGATGGTTCTCTAATGAACTGGTCCGACTCTTGACCCGATTACTTGACACTAATCCAGCAACGAGAATGACAATCCCGGAGATAATGAGTAATTAGTGGTTCACGAAAGGGTTTAAGCACGTTCAGTTCTACATAGAGGATGATAAATTTTGCAGTGTTGTTGATGAAGTGGAGACAAATGAGTTAATTGATTCTTTATCCGATTTATCTGAAACTGAGTCTGAGACAGAGAGTAGGAGGAGGTTGAGCAGTTTACCCAAGCCTACAAGTTTGAATGCATTTGACATTATTTGGAATTGCTGAATTCAAATAGAAGCGTAGAAGAAGAAAGAAAAAGGGAATCCCGAATCCCAAGCCCCTCTGCCTCTTTCCCTGCTTTCACTCTCTGCTTCCTTCGTCTCTCACAGAACCAGTCAATCGGCTCTTCTTCTAATCGCACAATCTGTCAATCGGTTCTTGATTCAGCGGTTAAATCACCTCTACTCTTGAATTCGGAATCCCCCCTTGTTCTTCTACACAGGTCTTTCGGATAACTTAGTCTGAATCTAATGTTTGATTAACATTTTTTTTAATGGGTAGTGATTTCATTCCCAGCAAATTTCAACAACAACTTACAATCTTAGATTCAAAAACCACATTTGAGCCGCCTCTCCAAGAGCACATCAAATGACACAAATGATTCCTCATTTTTGGCCTTTTTAATCTCTCATGTTCTGCTTACAACAATGCCTATACATACATAAGTTATCTCTCTTTGTTACAGTGTAATAAAATATAAAAGCTCTATGAATATCTTCCGATTGTGGTATTAATGGGCACTTAAATCTATTCCAAGCACGGCGGATGATCATCACGTGGTGGAGCTCCTTGACCGAAGCCCCACGACAGCTTCCACTGCTTTTCGCCAAGAATTGATTACTGAGACGGAATCGTCAGGAACGAGTCTCTCCAATGATTTATCAATGTTTGGACTCGGTGACAGAGTGGGCCGCCAGAAAAGGGAGCTGCTTGCGGATCACCGCCCCACGCAACTGCGGGGCGCCGTTGCCAAACCAAACTACAGCGGTTTAGCGGGGCAAAAACGCCCTGCTTATAGGGCGAGAGTTGAAACGAAGCTTCTCCGTGGAAGAAGAAGATGTTAGACCTAGACAGACAAATAGAACAGCTCAAGAGATGCGAGCCGTTGAAGGAGTCCAAAGTGAAGTCTCTTTGTCTCAAGGCTGTGGAAAACCTCGTTGAAGAAAGCAACGTTCAGAGAGTCGATGCCCAGTCACTATTTGTGGTGATATCCGTGGGCAGTTTTATGACATGAAAGAGCTTTTCAAAGTTGGCGGAGATTGTCCAAAGACCAATTATTTGTTTCTAGGAGACTTTGTTGATAGAGGATTTTACTCTGTGGAGACCTTTCTGCTTATGCTTGCTCTTAAGGTGAGGTATCCAGATCGCATAACATTAATCAGAGGTAACCATGAGAGCCGCCAGATCACACAGGTATATGGATTCTACGATGAATGCCTGCGGAAATATGGCTCTGTGAACGTGTGGAGATATTGCACAGATGTATTTGACTATTTAAGCCTGTCAGCTCTAATTGAGAACAAAGTATTTTGTGTTCATGATGGTCTGTCTCCTAATATAAATACAATAGACCAGATTCGAACAATTGATCGAAAGCAAGAAGTGCCACATGATGGTCCCATGTGTGACCTGCTATGGTCTGATCCAGAAGACATCGTTGATGGTTGGGGTTTGAGTCCTCGAGGTGCAGGTTTCTTGTTTGGGGGCGGTGTTGTCTCAACATTCAACCACACAAACAACATAGACTACATATGCCGTGCTCATCAGTTGGTAATGGTAGGATATAAGTGGATGTTTAGTCATCAGATAGTTATTGTTTGGTCTGCTCCGAACTACTGCTATAGATGTGGGAATGTTGCAGCAATTCTTGAGCTTGATGAGAATCTAAACAAGCAGTTCCGTGTGTTTGAACCAGCTCCCCAGCAAGAAGCAAGAAGGCCTCCTGCAAAGAAGCCATATGTGTAGTAGAATCCAGATTTCGGGTCATAGTAACAACTATTGCTCTTGATGTAATAGTAGCCTGATGAGCTGTCATATTCCCCCAACCTTCAGAAACTATAGGATCTTTAGCACCTGCTCGGGCTTGAGCTACTCCTTTTGATAGTTGTGTTGGGCTTTTGCTTCAATGTGTTCAGGAGCACGAGTTGCTTCCTTTTGTTCTTTCTCTTTTGCACAACTTTTAAGCTAAATGAATCGTCCCGTGAATGTAAGTTTGTTTGTGTTGATACCCAGCTTTAATAATGTGAGCAATGTTTTAATTTGTCTTGTTTTTTTAACTGGTATGGTGTCTTATTCCTTTGGCTAATTGCGATGTCTATTTCTTTGACGTTCTTGACTATTTGGAGTGCTTCCTTCACTACTTATGTGTACCATCTGTAATGAATTTGTGAACAAAATTAGAATGCGTGATTTCTAACTTATTTTACTACTTTTATTTTGTTAGTTTAATTTTGGACTAGAAGTATTTATTCAATTATCTAAATCGCTAGAATATTAGATGTAAAAATAAATTTAAGTGTAAGAACCGTCTTCTCTCCATAAAAATTCTCTTAACTAACAATTCATTAAACTAGGATTTTTCTTTTCATTTTCTTTCCTTAAAAATAATAATCACTTTCTTAAGTAAAGGATGATATTGCATATTCTTAAAAATACTTTAGGTAGAAAGGAAATCACTTTCTTCATGAGAGATTATGCTCTTTACTCACATTTTAAATATTTCATTGGTTAATATTTTTCTGATATCAATTTCATTGGGCATCTACTCAATCGCGCAAAGAAGCCCCCAAAGAAGCCCCCACCTGACTACTTTCTGTAGATCCTGGACTTCTCTGTTATATACCATCAAAACCAGGATTGACCTGTTTGACTGGATGGGCTTTGTATGACCACGAGATGATTAGGTGAATTACTTGTGATGCCCATTTCGACTGTAGAGAGGGGGCATCTACAACCAGCTGCCCTGTGATGAGCTTCTTGCATAGAATCTTTTTTTCTTTTTAACCCGATTCTTTAACGAAGTTGCAGTTACAGCTATGTGAGATACTATTTGTGTGGTTACATACAAAGTACAGCATTGTTCCCCATCAAATACAGAAGATAAATTTTGGTCAATCTGATTGTAAGAATGAGACCCTATGGGTGTATAATGGGACACACTAATGTCCTCACATTACGGAATGTTGAAATAAAATCACGTAGTTGTGGTTCTTATTAAATTCACATGATACTCACAAGTACTCCGTGACTTTATTTTCTCATTTGTTAGTATGAGAACATTAAAGCGAGCTTACTTGGTCTCTTTAGAATTATTGTTGTAAGAATAGCTAAATTTAAATTTGGTAGCATGTTTTCATGTGGTACGCTGGTGTAGGGATGCTGGTGTTTCTTGTCAAAAAAAAAATCAATGTTTGGACTCATTTCGCGGACAAGATTGAGTGATTCTGATAAACGATTAAGCAGGTTCATCAGAGCAATGACATCGTTTCCCTGCAACTGCAGTCTGCAGCGGTGGCATTGGGTGCTTCTGACCATCCACGGAGAAGAGGATATTTAAGGCAGTTCCAAGGCCTAAAACTTGAAGCTACCTCCAGAGGTGGCAGTTCTCACATCCTACACAATCTATTAAAGCACTGATATTTCTGAAGGTAACCAATTTATTTCCTCCTCACTCAAAGTGCCTACTGGTTATGGAAATATAGGAGACACGAAGCTCTGCTATAGAAATATTTTAACCAGCTTTGAAGTTGTTTAGTTGCATTAGTCATGGACAGCTTGTGGATGTCCCTTGGGTAATGGAAGGAACTTGGCTAGGGGCAATAGCTTAGACGGGTCGATGTAGAACTTATCACCTGAAGAATATGATGATGCAATCATTCCTTCCATCATTTTGATGGAGAACAACGACTCATTGATTGGGCCGAAAATCTCATCAACTTTACCAATCTGTGCTTTATTTTGCAGGTAAATAGGAGCGTTGAAATACGGAATCTTCTCATTAGTAAGCTTCGTCACTGCATCTCCTTCGCAAGCGTGCAGAAATGTAGAAACCTCTACGACTTCTGAAGGCGGGCCTTCATCTCGAAAAGAACCGCGACCGCCGAAGCCACGACCTCCTCCTCTGCCAAAGCGGCCGCCGTCTTGGCCTCCCCTAAATCCTCCGCCGTCTCTGCCTCCCCTGAACCCTCCGCCGCCACGCCCTCTTGGTGGTCTCATGCTTCACAGCCGCGGCAACCGTGGAGCTGGCTCTCACTACTTGTGTTTAGGACTGCTCCCTTGCATTAGTCATGGACTCATGATTATCTATGCATATCATTCTTAGATAATAATTTAAAATTGGAAAAATTGATAGTAATAATCTCAACTATTGGTGGTCCGCCTATAATAATCTCAACTATCAATTATTTCAGAATAATCCCAACTTTAGGGACCTTCTGCCAATAATGGTCCCTACAAATAAATTGTTGTAGTTTCTAAAGTGGATGAGAAGAGATATAACAAGTAATCTCTATAAATAATCCCAACTTTTAATTTTTACGCTTAATTTCTATTTAAAATTCACTTTTTATAAGAGGTAATATTTGGTCATGGACCATTATTGGCGGACGGTCCATATAGTTGGGATTATACAAAAATAATCAATAGTTAGGATTATTATCGGCAAACCGGCAATAGTTAGGATTATTATTTTCAAATTTTCCTTAATATTTGTGGTATATGTGGCCAAATTGTTTTTGTTATTTCTCCACGACTATTTCTCCCCTCATAATTCAACATCAATGTACCATAGCACAATGTCAAGGTATTCTAAAATGGTCTTGATTGCCAATATTCTGGCTATATTTAAGACTTGGTTTACCGGTTTGAAGTGCATTTTCAGTTTGTGGAGTTCGAGTGTAAACAATTACTTATTACTTATAGGGTTGATCAAATATAGACACTGTGTACTTGAAGACCAACTGACATTTGCACTGTTTATAAATGAAATATTTTTATTAGTTCATGTTTTCTTCTACTTTCTAATAAATTTTGAGCATACCATTTCATTTTATTAATAGACTAACAAATGCTAAAGGGAGTGTGCACTTTAGAGGCAAAGGGAGTATAAATTAAGCCTCAAAGTCTATAAATTATGAATACATTATAAAAAAACATAAATCCCCCATTCATTTGTGTGTTAAAAATTTCAGGTTATGACAAGAGTTCCAACTGGCTATCTCTTTGATGCCTTCACTCCAACTACAATGTAGCAAGATTATAGTTATTTTTCATTTAGTCTAGCTTCACAGACGGTCCAACGGAAGAGCTTCAGTCTTTAAAAACCTTTTGCATACCATTATATATCTTTTTGCTTGACACTTTGGTACAGTATGGTAGGTCTGTCAATGGGTCGGGTCTAGACCCGGACCCGATCCGAATCCGGCACTTTATTTGAGGGTATGAGTCTAAATTTAGAACTGTTTCCCGGATCCGGATCCGGACCCGTTACATGATAAAGAAAATGGGTCGGATATGGTTTTTTTAAGTTCCGACCCGTTTTGGAGCCGACCCGTAATGGAACAATTATACTTATAATTTTTTACATATACACACAAAATATACATATTTTCCATCATTTGCAATGGAGCCGAAAATTCATTATTTTTTGGCTTGAGAATATGATGGAATAAAGTAAAATGGCTCACTAAACTGTCTGCGCTTCTTTGTTATGAAGCAGCAGTCAGTCCATGCAATTTTGGACGCGATTTTCACTATGGGTCATCCAGAAACAGTCTCTTTGTGCTTTAGTACAGGGGTAAGACTGCGTACATCCGACCCCCTTACCCCACCGTAGGTGGGAGCCTTTGCGGCATTGGGGTAAATGAAAATGAAAATGAAATGAAATGACACACAAAATATACATAGAAATATTTAAACATAAAACAAGGAACATAATCTAATATAAAAAATGTTTTAATATTTATTAACTTAGATAGTAGTTGGCCCAGTATAATGAGATTTTCGCTAATGAGTTCTTGTTTTAGGTTCTCTATGAGTTCACTAATATACATATAACATACTCTGTATATTATTGTATAGTTCATATAGAGTAATTGATAGAACGACATTTTGCCTATTTATATATGATCTCTTCCATCATGATTTTTTTTTATTATATAATATATTTGTTTGCATATGTCATTTAGTTTTACTTTGCGGGTATACCCAGTCGGATCCGAGACCCGTCGGATCCAAATATGGAACATATGTTTAGGACCCGAAGGGTAAATGGGTCCGGATCTGGACCAAAAAACTTTCAACGGATATGGATATGGAATTTATAGTTTCCGCCCGTATCCGACACGTTGACATGCCTACAGTATGGTATAACTAAAGACACTTAATGAGGTGCAAGTAAGGATGGCAATGGGGGCGGGGGCCCGTGGGGAACCGCCCCGTGGGGGGGGGAGTTGGGGCGGGTGGTGGGGTGGGGCGGGTGGTGGGGTGGGGGAGATATTTTCTCCCCGCAAAAATATGGGGCGGGTGATGGGTTATGCACCCCCCGCACCGTCCCCGCACCGTCCCCGCCCCGTCCCCCGTAATAATTAATAATAATAATCTCAATAATAATACTAATAATAATAGTAATACTAATACGAAGTAATTAAAATAGCATGGTGGTCCGGTGGGTTTAGTGGTTTCCTATCTAATGGATTGTGCGTAATGGATCTATCTAATTCTTGTTTAATAACTAAGCTATCTTGTAAAATTGCTTATCAAAATCATAAAGTAAAATGAATTTTTTAGAGATAAAATAAAATGAATTTGGGAAAGTTATAAAGTGATATTAGCTTAAACGCCTCAGGCACGGTGTGAAAGTTTTTTTCCTTTACTATTATAATGCATTAATTCTTTTCTTTTGAATGTCATCTTTATGATTGTAGTTAGGGCTCTTAAAATTTGGTGATCATATGTCATCTTAGATGCCGTCAAATGACCATGATTGATTGAATGCAGGGTTTAAGAAAATATTATAGAGCTAATCAATGCTAATTTAGAGTTTGATAAAAATTACTAATTTAGAACGCGTATAATGTGTTCTAGATTTGAAATGAGATGTAAGATTACATTGACACTTAAAAAGTAAAAAAAAATTGGCTACTAGAAGTGTTGTTAAATTTTTGAAAAATTGCCAGAGTCTAAAATGATGTTAATTTTTGACGAGTACTTCCCCGTTGGGTACCCGTGGGTCTAGCGGGTCGGGGCGGGGATGGGGCGGGTCGAATAGTAGTGGGGGATGGGGCGGGGGTGGGGGCGATTTTTTAGACACGGGGCGGGGGATGGGGGAGTGAACCCCCGCCCCAACCCCGCCCCATTGCCATCCCTAGGTGCAAGCATATATAGTTAAAGATTTATGTTACAAAAAATACATTGGGCACTATCCCGTCGCGCATCGCGCGTTACAAGAACTAGTCACATAAATAGATGGCATGGTACCACCTCGGCCCTTGCTGCGGCAACACGCCCCTACGGCCTAGGAGAGAAATGGCATATTCAATATTCAATACATCATGCATCCATCATGGTGCCACCATCATCAAATTACCATGCCACATGTGTGAGGCAACCACCGGCCAAGGACACGCCACTCCTATAATCTTCCAACTACAGCTTTCGGCCAAGTGTTACATGCAATCACACCCATGGCCGAAACAAAATAACAAATGGTGAGGCAAATCAACATCATCGGCCATAAATCACGCAACGGTCAGAAGACACACAACGTCCAGACACCTCCTCGGCCAGGCTTAAACAAAAGGAAAAGAAAACCCATCGGCTCAAACTGCAAATCAGGATTTGTCACGCCTCGGCCTACCTGAGGGAAGCATGACCTCTCAGTCCAACATCTCCTCGGCCATATGGGCCTCGCCCCAGAGCAGCAGGCGTCTTCTCTTCGGCCTCCACAGCTCAAGGATGGAACATCAACCTCGTCTAGGACAGAGGGATGACAGCTCCTTCGGCCAAGCAGGGGCTCCTCAGCTCCCTCGTCCACAACTCTAGCCTCCAAGGATGGGCAGCCCCTCGTCTAAAAAGTTTGCTAGCTAACAAACTATGCAGAGAACCCATCGGCCGGTACCTCATCGACCGGTACCTCATCGGCCGGCACCTCATCGGCCGGCACCTCATCGGCCGGCACCTCATCGGCCGGCACCTCATCGGCCGGCACCTCATCGGCCGGCACCTCATCGGCCGGCACCTCATCGTCCGGCACCTCATCGGCCGGCACCTCATCGGCCGGCACCTCATCGGCCGGACCGCATCGTCCGCACCGCACCAGTCAAAGAGAGGGACACCACATCGGCCGCGCACCGCATCGGACGCAACAGGGCCACCTCGTCAAGCAACCACATCGTCCGGACCACAACGGCCAGAACTTATTGGCCAAACACGCCGGCTGGAGTAGAACCATCGCCCACCAGAAGGGCCGCCTCGGCCGTCAAATCGCCCGTCCCCCGGCCAATTGTGGTCTCTTTGCCCAGGCGGCGGAAGAGCAGCAGCACACCCCGGACTGGAAGCAGCCTCACTTCTCTCCCTCGCGACGGCTGGGTCAGCGGGAATCTCCTCGTCGGTCGTCACGGCTCTGGCTTCACTCCTTCGAACCCACTTCTCCCTGCGGGTAAAAACTAACAAAGGGGGCAGGATCTGGGATCCGCATCTCAAGTAGGATAGCGGGCCAAGAGGAACATGGACCGGCTATTAATCTCAAAGGTTGGATTCAGAGCAGGCCCAAATCTTGTATTTCCCTGCTTTAATACTAAGCAGGGCAGGCTTCGGCCCAAATACAAGTAAGTCACAAACTTTTCCTCCTATTTTATGCATTAAATATGGAGCAAAATAGTTTTACCACTAAAAAAAAAAAAATAGTTTTACTAACTATTCAAAAGAAAAACAAAATAATAATAATAATTATTATTATCACTATTGTTATTATCACCACCATTGCTAGCGGATTAAAATCCCCAATTGGTGCGGGCCAGAGCCTTAACCTTCCGAACATCTTTATTTGATGATTCGGATCATATTTGGGTCCATTGACCTACCATGGTCATCTTTATTTGATGACCCGGGCATCTAGAATGAGAGCCATCAACGGCCGCACACGACATCTATCTTAATGTAAAAGGAAAAGAAATTTCCGGAAAAAGTTCCCGCTTAGAAGTGTCAACTTCAGTCCTTGATTTTTGTATTACTCAAAACAAATACAAAAAAAATGTAGGCTAAAGATATTAGTTCGTTCCAGATATGAGGTATACTATTAGGCTGTTCGCCTGTTCCTATTGGCTAAAAGAAGAGGTGTGCATATTTTCAGCTGAACTTCCGTGTGTTTCTATTGGTCTAAAACGACGGTGAGCATGATTGACATAAAATTGTGACCGGATGTTAATCATTGTTTACCTTCCTTTGCTTCTATTGGTGGAAAGGGCGGTGCTAACAGTAATGGACTAATGGGATACGTTCAAGTTCGAGTATAAAAGCATCGCTCCAGCGGTAGACTTCTCACATCAATTCGGCCCTCAAGCTCAAATAGCAAACAAGCAATATATCTCTTTCGTGGATTGAATTGGAAACGCTCCCACTTCCGGAGATGCCGTAGGCAGTCATGAGACCTTCACTTCGAGTCGATTGACCTAAACGTACGGCTGTATCTGCAGATTCTTCAAGTTCGGATTCTTGCTACTTCCATGACTTTGTCCGTTAATTGCTTTTATTTATAACCGTCCTTCGCAACCCTTCTTCCCACTTCCATCCTAATTTTAAAACGAGAGTTGAGGGAGATGAGCGTGATATGGTGAGGAGATAAGTGATGTATGGTATAGAACCATCGGGAAAACAGTCGAATGAACCATCTAGATTTTCTTTTTTGAAAGATTTAATAATGTCATCTAGATAGTACTCCGAGTATGAATTTTTAATAAAATCATAATGTCA